CTAATCTATCTAATCTATCTAATCTATCTATCTATCTATCTATCTATTTATCTATCTATCTATCTATCTATTTATCTATCTAGCTATCTATCTATCTATATCTATCTATCTATCTATCTATCTATCTATCTAGCTATCCATCTGATCTATCTATCGGTTTGTCTGCCTGCCTGCCTGCCTGCCTGCCTTCCTGCCTGTCTGTCTGTCTGTCGGTCTGTCTGTCTGTCTGTCTACCTGCAAGCTTGAAAACGCAGCAATTCTGCGAGACTTCCTCAATTTTTGAACTTGACAACATCAAAAATGAAACAATTCTGCGAGACTTCCTCAATTTTTGAACTTGACAACATCAAAAACGAAGCAATTCTGCAAGACTTCCTCATTTTTTGAACTTGACAACATCAAAAACGAAAGAATTCTGCGAGACATCCATCAAAAATCGAAAGTTGAGTGCAGAGCTGACGACCTCGTACCAATGCGTTTTGCGATGTTTCCACTCCACCTGTCTAAAGTACTGCGCCTGCCGCGAAAAAGTGATGCCAGGTCATACGAAGTGCTGCACCCGTCACGCAAAATCATCTCAGCAAACCTGAAGATCTGATGCTCCAAAATGCAACCCCTCTCAGGAAATCAGCGCCCGGACCTCCTAACAGCTCTGATGAACATGTCTCGTGTACTGCGGCTGCCACGGAAAATGCATCTTTGCAGATCCTCTTCAAATGTCCCACGCCTGCCATCGTTTTTGAAACTGCTACAAAAAACCCTCACGTTTTGCTCACTTTTGACAAGGTGCACAAACCCTTGCGCCTGCCACGCAAAACGAAATCTGAACGTCCAAAAGTGCTCCGAACGCGTCAGCTTTTAACACTTTTGACTTGGAAATAGGCTTTGCGCCACAACGGCGTGCACTTTTTCGACATCTCAACTTTAAAAAGTGCTCCGGAGCTGAGGTGTTTTGTACATTTTGACTTGGAAACGTGCTTCGCGGTAGAACGGTGTGCACTTTTTCCACATCTCAACTTCTAAAAGTGCTCCGGAGCTGAGGTGCTTTGTACATTTTGACTTGGAAATGTGCTTCGCGCCACAATGGCGTGCAGTTTTTCATCTCTCATCTGGCCAGCTGGCTCCGCACCCGCCGCTTTAGCGAGCCTACTTTTCGACCCTCCGGAGCCTCAAATGATTGAAAAAAACACAGTGTTTAGCGGCTTTGCCACCTTTTCGCGCACCTGGATCTTCTTTCTTCTGATTCTTTCTCTTTCTTCTTCTCTTCTCTGACTCTTCCCATCGCTGCTTTTCATCTGCCCATATTGTCGGAAGTTTGACTTCTAAATTTCCTTCGATGATAGAATATATATATATGTATATTTATATCATATATATATGTGTGTGTGTATTGCTATAGACAATTTGCCATCGGTGAATATATACATATGACAATAGCAGAGAAAAACTCCTCCATAAAGGATTGTATGCAAGTCTGATCATATCTGTATTGCCATCTATGTATTTATATCTAAATAAATCTGTCCTCGAAGTTCATCTCAGCTGTCAAGTTTCGCGGCAGCTTCATAGGGAAGCATGTGTAGGAGGTACACCAACGCCATGTCGTTCCAATTTGCACTTCACACCATCCCACGGTGGCGCTCTTGGGCTCCATCAAGTGCTTTGCTGCCGGGGCCGTGGGCGGAAGTTTCGATTCGCGATCGAACATGCCGGCAGGTGCCGCAATGAGGTGGAGCATGACGAAGTCGTGGTCGACTTCCTCCGTTGTCGACCGTGCCTCCAACTCCAATGCTCGTTGCCGTTGCGAGTCTCTCAAACTAAGATTCTGAGATCCCGATCCCCGATGATTTATCTATCCCCACATGATTAGTCTATCCCCAATGATTTATCTTTCCCCAAGTGATATTTCGCACCCCGTTTTTGCCGGGTTTCAGTCTGCACTGGAATCTGGAAGCGCGCCAGTCCAGTCAGCAGCTCAGCTTGCAAGCGACGCAGCCGCCATTAGGCCAGTGCACTAAAAACTGTCAACTGTCCATTGTCTATATCTATTATCTGTATACCGTAGTGATACCAATTAGCCATTTACCATTATTACAGGTACCCATAACAAAGGTTGGTTTGTATATATATATATAAGCAACCAACTAAATTAGCTATTTACCCAGTGATGTTCACCGATAATAGGGACAGGACGGGCAAACGTTCAGTGGCCAGCACTTTGGCCATGTCCATTCCGAAAAAGAATGTTATATATAATTATATATACATATCAGGCCATCATCAGCATCATCTGTGGTCAATAAACTATATTAGGCTATAGTTATCTCATATAACCCCTGGTCACTGGTCACCCCTAACCAATATAAAATACTAATTTCCCTCCATTTAAAATGATTAATTATGGGTTACCCGGGTTATTATCAATGTCATCGATCATCAGCCTTCAGCCTTAACTTATATATGCGTATATACAATATGGATGTTGGTCAAAATGGAAGACCTAGGGGACCACAGATGTTAGTCTAGTTTAGTATTAACCATCCAATTATTGGGGTACCTAATTTTGACCCATACCCACATAGAAAGAAAAAACGTGGTCAACACCAAGGTATACTTATATTAATCCATGCGTTATTCCCTTGGTCCGTTGATCCTCGGCTCCAGTTTCCCACGGCCGCGCGAGTTGAGCTAGGCAGGCTGACACCACTATATATAAGGGCTATGTAAGGGGTTATACAGTTGTGTAGATGCATTGTATATATGAGATAGTACCTCCAATTTCGATTAGTTTGGATGGCCAACTTATTAAATGAAATTTTGGAAGAAGCGTTTTTCCATATAAATACAGACCCTATACCCAACAAGCGTTTTATACTTTGCTCCCCAATGGCAAAACGCTTCTTCCAAACCGAAATTACATGACCCTCTGAAACGCAGCCCGCAAGCAACTTAACAGTCTTAGTCTTAGTTCCTAAAAAATGAAGTGTGTGTTTATTCAAACATATATATGTGTGTGTGTGCAGTATATGCATATTTTATTTGATACTTAACAGTTGAGTTAAAACTATAAAATGTATGTCCTTTTTTATCTTTTGACAGGCGAGTTTAGTCTTTTACAGTGTATATATATATTATTCCAATTCTGAGATCTATATATGACTGAAACACAAACTGAACTTTGACAGGCAAGTTTGTAAATTCTAAATAAAGCAATAAATATACTATCATGTATCTATATAACAGTAAAATGTTATATCATATAATAATAACAATATAATTTTATATCATCAATTTAGATCACAATGAAAACAAAATATGGTAGAACATGCTCAAAACTCCATGGGCTGGCTAAAATGACTGATTTTATCTTAGGACTGGGTTAGACCATTCTATCTGACCAAAATCACCCGGGATTATATATACATAGATAGCGTGCATGTCTGTGTGTATTTATATGCCCGTAAAATATACGGTATACAGATATATATATATATACATACACACATACATACACATTTGTTTATAACTACATACTTCCCCTGTTCACAATATTTAGATTTATATGTATAAACGTGTACAAATATAGTGATGTTCTTTTGAACATAAGTGTTCACATGGAGAAATAAGGACAGGCGCGCTTATTTTCAATTTATATGTACAAGCATGCATGGTGAGATTCTTAAGGCAAGTAGTTAGACTGGCTGAATCAGTGCGGAAAACAGACATCCAATCATGAACACCAATCAAATTGAGCTCAGCAATTCCAACTCCACTAACGTAATATTCGGTTGCTTTTTCTTGCATCATCATCTCTCCCCTCCAGTTGTGCCGCTTGTCGTGCTTACCGCTTCTTCAAAACACCATATTTCTTGACGGCATCCTTCAACTTCTGGTTAAAATCAATGTCAAACCACCATCTTGCTCTGTCATAACCCTACTTGCAAATAATTTGGGTACCCCCCTGTGGCATGAAATACCATAAAATGCCATATAATGCCTATCCCATCCCTATCAACTTATCGTTTCGTCACCCACTCGGCTATCGTTTCAACGCCTCTGCACGATGGAGGCCAGGTCGGTGGGCGCTGAGACAGCTCGCGTGAGCGGAGAGGGCGAGGCACTTTTCGGCGGCCAGCTGCAGAACATGTCGGTGTGTTTCCGCAGAGTCATGGAGAAGACTTGGGGGTGGCCAAAGTTTACTTTTATGGCTATAACATGCTATAACATGCTATAACCATGGGAATTCTTCAACTCCGTTCAACTCCCATAAGTTGGGATATAACCGCGGAAAAAACGATGGTTATATATCCACTTAGAACTGGAATTGCACTTCCAAGCATTGAAATGATATATGGATATATACATGGACTGTAATATACTCAGTGACCACAAGGAGAATTCCAACAGAATCATCTTGTTGAATCTTATATTTTTATGTATTTGAGAGTTCATAACTGCTATCTATCTATCGACGAATTCATACTTAGAGATTGAAGAAGCTTCACGTTTGGTGAAGCCTGCGAATTTCATCAGAGGGGGGGTGTTGTTTTGAAGTCAAACCTTTTGATGACAACAGTACAGGCTGGTTGAAACTGAGGACATCAACTGAAAAAAGAAAAAATGATGTACAGTCAGAATTGAGATGACTGGAAACCTCAAAATCCACATGACTCACATGTTTCCTTGACGAAATTCAAAGAATGAAAGACTTCCAGTGGCTTTGGCAGGTCTCGATCCCCCGATCCCCCCATGCACCCTGTATCTCGCATCGGCTCGTAACCAGGCTCTCCCGGGATCTGTGATCGGAGACAGCAGTTGAGATCCGGTCTGTTTTGTGGCTCCACTGAATTCAATATAAGTCAGATTATTTCACTACATTTCAAACATATCAGTAATTATCCAGGATATATCTGAATCACAGGTATTTACTATATTTCAGTATACTGATTATATTTCACTACATGTCAAACATGTTGTTCCAGGATGTTCCAGGTACAGTATCAGTTTGGAGTCGGAGTGGTGCAAATGTCATCGCTGTCGCTGGCCAGCAGGCGCCTGATGCCCCAGCGTGGCGTAAGGCACCTGTCGCCTCGGTCGTATGGGATTTCATGGGAAATCCCCGTGGCGCAAATGGAGCTTGACAATGCGATATGGAAAAAATCATCGAACTAAATAAAGGTGATGGTTACCAAATAGCTATCATCATTCAACTTTTGCATTTAGTTTGATGATCATCATTCAATAGCTATTCAAATGGAATCAAACATTGAAACAGGTGGAAATAGCTATTAAAAAAAAGGAAAAGTCATCGAACTAAATGAGGGATTTCCACGCCAATGGAGCTTACCAAAGATATTTTCGACGTGTTGGAAACCACTTTTGCTGGTTGTAAACCCCATTGATTCCCCCATTTTTTAATGATGGAAATCAAGCTTTTGGCCCAGTGTTCAGCTTATGCTAGCCATGTTTTGCATCCCATTTTTGCATATGTTCCCATATGTTTCCCATGTTTTCCCGTATTTTGCCCATATCCCATGTTTTCTCATATGCTTCTCATGTTTTTCCCATAGAAGTTTGGCGTATCTTCCTCTCTTCACAAATGATCCGCTGGTTGCCCTCGCTCCGGACACCCTCCCCGCGTCACGTCCAGGTGCGACGGAACACTTTGCAGCCATCGCTCGACCGCCTTTGGAGCGTTGCCGCGGCTCTGCACCTGACGCAGTGATGGCTCAGCATCCAATAAGCCAAGCACAAAAAAAGGATTTGGTTGGGTAGATTGCTAGTGTTATAGGACTATTTTCAGATTGTTAGGAGTTGTATCCGTAGGATTAAGATTGTTAGGATTAGTTGTATTAGGATTTGGGTTTATGATTATAAACATAAGTAGGAATAGTAGGAATAGTAGGAATAGTAGGAATTATGGGAGTTATGTTTCATTGGGACATGGATTATTGAATGATTGAGTTATTGGATGGTACTGGGCTATCCATGTGTTTTAAAATTATCTGTAAAGATTGTGGTTGAAGAACCCGAATATCCCATCGTGGTTATCACCCCCAAGAAAGTGTGCAGCTGAGTGGGATTAAATGGCCCATATTCTGAGCGGAATAAAGACTATCGGGTTAGTGGTTTCAACCCCTCTGAAAATATGAAAGTCAGTTGGGATGATGAAATTCCCAACCGAATGGAAAAATAAAATTCATGTTCCAAACCAACAACCAGCTATAGTTGTTTGAATAAATTCAACTGGTCCACTTTCTGAAGGAAAGTCAATGGATGGTTTCAAGGAAACAAAACACTGGATGTCGTGTTGCCAAAGTAATTTTCCGAAGCAAGCCATTGGAGAAAGATTTGTTGATTGGAATCAATTGGATTTAATCTACAAAGATTAGTTGGTTGTTTCATGTTCTCCCAATACATAAGCGGACTAAAGATTCTAGTTTATTGGGGTTCCAGTAGTCATCGGCTCCCTTTTTGACCTATACAGTACGCCAACACAACACGGAAGTCTGCAATCAACAAGGAGATCAGCAACCAAAATTGGGACGCTCCTCCCGGGCCCCCTGAGTCTTGCAGAACCTTTTTCTCCCCCATTTGTCTTGGCTGATTTCTCATGATTTCTCCATATCTATCAGTGAGTATCCCCCATTTCTTCTTGGATAGGTCCCAAGAATGCCAAACAGTTTGAACAAAGGATGTTAGTTCGATGATGTTTCCCACATATGTTTGCGAAGTTTCAAGCTATCTCTCTATATACAGGGGGTTGCTATAGTATCCCTACATATCTTCATTAGTTCAGAACTGATACTATCCTACCATCCCCACATTGCTATACGATCGTACTATTCCCACATATCCCCATGACAATGACATGTACTGCACGCCTCCCAGTTGATCTTTTTCACCAGGATGGTGTTGGCTGGTTCCACCTCATGACGTCTGTGAACTTGGAAATCAATGTCATATTAACAAATATCTGTATGTATATTAATAAATATTATGTACAATATTATATACATATTTATTGTTTGATCTATTTGTTTATTTATTTATTGCATTAATCTCTATATATATATAATTAAGTATATCATGTATTTATATATGCATGAATACATTTTATATATATATATATACACTATGGAAATATGACCTGAACTTGCATGGCACAAAATGTGATTTCATTCTCAGTCATCCGGGCGCCCGGACCAGAATGGGCACCCGGGGGGGCGGAGGGACTCCGGGACCCTTGCCCCAGCAGCCAAACTTCCGTCCCTCGGCAGAGGTCTGGTCTGATACATTCTGAGACTTTGTCCAAGTGGATATATAGCTATACATATATATATATATGAGTTTAACAATGGTTAATGATGGTTAATTATGATTTATAGTGGATTATCTGGTGGATTATATATATATATTCTGGTTGGTGGTTTTAGCCATCTTGAAAAATATTAGTCAATGGGAAGGATTATCCCATATATTATGGAATATAGAAAATGTTTGAAACCACCAACCAGTGGCCAACTATGACCAGCCAAAGACCGTTAGCTCCAGCTATGGTTGATGTTATGCTCAACATGCCTAGGCAGGGCTCAGTCAGGCACTAGGTCTTAGAGGGTACCCCATTCCTTAACATGATTTATCAACGGTTTATCATTGCTTTCCCCACTTTTGATGATAAATTCCTTGAGACAAACCACGGGCCACAGATTCTATCAGATTCGTGTCTTCAGGATCCCAAAGTGCTAGAAAATCACGAGTAAATATCATTAAATATCTATGAATCTTCATCAGTCCTCCGCCCATTGAACCACTTCACGTTGTCAACTCGTGGGCCCGCACATCGCTCATGAAGCGACGATCAGCGACGTCACTGCCGGGCTGAAGCCCGGCTAAGCCACAGTGGCTCGAAATATGGCGAAATCAGGCTAGGGGTATCAAGGCAGCCAGGTGTACCTGATTGTACCTGTTACAAAAGATTGGTCTTGATAAAGCATCGATTTTCAGGGCTGAGTCCGATTTCTGTGAAGTTTAACCCAGTCCTACACCCTTTGATTGTCCACTTTTCGGCAGGACCCAGGTCAGGCCACTACCCTGTTTTTTGGGGTTTGGGAGTTTGGGGCTAAACAAATGCCAAAACTTCAGCAGATTGAGAGCCATGTACACATACGATGTGTGTTTTCGTGCCAAGTTGGTTTCATATGATTAGAAAGATATCTGCCTAACCTCGCCCTGATTTCAAGCACCCCTTTTTTCCTGAGATGATCTTCATCTCTGCAGTCATGCCCGGTGCTAGACGCGGGTCCAACACCTGCGAGTTTCGCAGGGGGTTGATGATCATCTTTGCCTGTCTGGAAGAAGAACTTCAACTCATCTGCAAGCACATCTGAAAGCAGTTGAATCATTCATGGTGAATGGGTCCCTGAGTTGCCTTCAAATGAAGCCCCATCCACAGCTGGTGCTGCTTCCACGTACCCTTGCATTCTGTTGTCACAGGAACTCAGAAACAAATACTGCGTAGAGTCAAAAAGAAACTGATACAACGCCCCCCCCCTTCTCCATTTTTCCTTTCACGCGATGGTGCCAGGGGCCGCAAGTTTGCATTTCATCCTGAAGGCATGGAGGCGAATTGGGGTACCAAGCACTTGCGACACTGAAAATTGTGCAACTGATGCTTGTGCATCTCGAATAGTTGAAATGGTCGGAATCTGGCATCAGTACATCATTACATTATATATATATATACAGTACATCCATTGTACACCCACAGCCAATGAAAAACAAGCAGATCTCAGACGTTACAGTCCATGATGTTCACGGCAACAACTATTCGCTGGGCCAGGAGAGGGCTGGATCTGTGTACCTCGTGATCCGGTCACGGGATCCCCTTGGTTTCGAACATCGGGGGATGCAAAATATAGCTATTCGGATTCGATTTGATGAGGGGCATCCAATGTGGTTGATCATCATTTTGATCTTTGTTTCTCATGTTTCATGCTATTTGCACACTAGTGTCATAAGAAAAATGAAAATCAAGCATAGGATTATTGGCTTTTCCAACATGCTCAGACGACCACTCAAGTGAGAATTGCACCCAACATGAATCGACCAACGGATTTACATTGAAGCCCAGCTGGTCATTTCTTTACTATATATGTGCTGCACCACTCAGTGAATGGTGGGGAGCCATGGATCCGCCATTGACCAAAAGGTGTGCAAAAACTCGGCGAGGACTCTAGGAACAAAGGATATGCAACGTTTAGCGGTATAGCAAAACATGGCCATGGAAAATCATTCTGCAGATGACTCACAACAAAGGTGCAAATCCCATTGCCATTCTGAGTAGAGGGTCGTTTCAAGCGACAGATCTATCAAATGGCTGACGCCAGCTTCCTCGACTTCATAAGTCTCAATGGCTGGACTCAAGACTCATCCGAAACCATCAGTCAAAGTGGCATCTTCAAAATCTACGATTATACTGACACTGCTCGTTTCCATCCTGGCTGCCCGCGTTCCAAACGGCTCTCTGAATCCAACAAGGTACCAATAGCTGCCCGCTGGCTTTTTGTGATCCACATGTGCCCGGAAGCGATTCTCGTACTTATGATTCCCGGACAGTAAAACCTCACAATGCGGGCCAGCATGGAACGGCTCTCTGGTAGGGGCTGCAACCAACATGTGGAGATTGGGAATGACAAAGTGGATAAGTTACGATAATTCATGATAATTCAAGCAATGGTGCACTGGCAGAACCATGGGGGCGGCTCATCTACCCTCTTGAAAAGCCACATTTTGAGATGGAAAAACACACAATGTGGAATGGGAGAAACATCTAGATTGAATCCACATTTCTTGCGGGAGTTTCCAGCCAGCCGGATTTGGTTACCACTGGGTATACCGGTATACCATTTAAGCGGAAAAACGTCACCTCTTTCCAACAGAGATGCGGATTCCGTTCATCCTAGTTTCTCAAGAACCTCGTGGCTTCAGCGCCCAAAATAAAAGCACACAGCTGTAAGCTGGTTGGTGGTTTTAACCATCTTGAAAAATGTTAGTCAATGGGAAGGATTATCCCATATATTATGGAAAATAAAAAGTATTTGAAACCACCAACCAGACATAGGTATTAGGGATCATGGTCTCAGGTCGCCAAGGGAGTATATCATCGTATACCCATGTAAGTCGAAATTCACCGGCCATTCAGAGTTACCCTCTGAAAGTACCCCAAAAATTGATGAGACCCTCGTTTCCCCTCAAATGGCCATATCTTGAGGGTCACTGACTCTGCAGACAAACCCAAATATGATAATATGCATTGCTGCGTGCATCATATGTGTTATGTAATGTATGTATGTATGTATATATATATATATATAGACACACATCCCAGAGAATCTATTGGTTATTCGGCAAACAAAGACCATCAGATCCTATATAAATCCCATAACATTCCCATTAAATCCCATAGGTGTTTCATGGTTTTTCCCATGTTCCCATATAATTTCCGTATAATTCCCAGCATTTTTCCATAGGTTTCCCGTAGCTTTTCCCATCCCAGGCACGTCCCTCCCCAAGGAGATGGGCGTGTGCGCTTGGGCCATGGACACCGCACCATAGATACTGGCCACATAGGCGTGGGCACAGCGCCCCGGCCAGCCTTGGAACCTGAAGCTCTTGGATCTTTGATGGTTGAAATCCCAGCCATTAGCCAATCATTAGCCTCTGGTAAACTGACATAGCTATGGAAAATCACCACTTTTGATAGCTAAATCCCAGCAACATGATGATTCATTGGATTGGTGGAAACCATGGTCTAAATCCCACCAATAAAAAAGTGGGTTCCTGTAGAGTTTCCCCTAAACCAATCCAATGAATGATGATTTGGGGATGTTTTAGTATGGTTTATAACAAAAACCCTAGTTAGCAACCATAGGAACATGATCATCTTAACCAAGAAAAATGGATGGGAACTTCATGGGATTTACAGCTGTTTCATGATAGCCCCACCGAACGTAGTTCGGAATTCCCCATTCTATTTAGGTTGTTCAGTTATCCCTATAAGTAGGAAAGAATCCCCTATGGGACAAGCTAGTTAATCTAGTTATACATTGGATAACTCACCATAGTTATGGTTATCCAAACATACCTGGCTTATAAATATGGTTCTCAACCAGTTGCCGTTTCATGGGATGATTCCTGCAAGTGGCTCCATACCTGATCCACCCCAAACTTGGGTTTCAATTTTCTAAGAGTCGTTCCATGAAACGACAAATGTTTTTTGGGGATCCAATTTTTCCCAGATTTTCCCATGGATCAAACCTTGGGCTTCAAATCGTTCGATTCCAGAAAAAGATGCAGCCAATCATCCCCAATAATATTGGATTGTATAACCCCATATCATAATCAACGGTTGGTTTTTTGTGCAGCCAATGCTCATTTGGAGGTTTCCTTTAAAAAACTGGCAACCCCCATGAACTGAGTCAAATTCCGAAGCGCCTAGGGCCTTTTTTTGGTAGATATGGGGCTTTGGTTCGCCATCAAACATACCGGAGATCATGGGGATATAGCTCATAAATGGAGGAAAAATGATAGTTGGCTGATGATTATAGGGGATTATATATATATACTACTGTAACCATCAAATGTATCGGGACTTGCAGTAGTTAGAGTCTTCATCAGTGGATACCACCCAAACTTGGATGGTTGAATTCTGAAACGACCATGGCCTTCATCTGTGGTTTGGGCAGTGCAGCAAATTCGACCCATGCCAAAGAAGACTCAACAGCCCCTGACATGGAGGTCATACTCTGTCATACTCTGCCCCCGACAGACATCCACATCCACATCATCCACATCCACATTTGCTTCAATCCCTTGAACTGCAGATCTACTTAAAAACTCCCGTATTTGGGCCATCTCAAATCTGGGGCCCAAAAAGTCCCAAAAAAAACGCCTTTCATGAGCAATACATGGCCACATCATGGAATGCTGGGATCTCACTGATCCAAACTGCAAGGATCCTCCCAGGATCCACGGCTTCCCACTCCAGCTATCATTGGCCGACAGTGTCTTTATTGCTACAAGAATACAGTTCGTGTTATAGAACCTCCATATTTTGGTTGAAAAGCACTGTCTTCAAGCTCCCCCATATGTTCTCTTGGCACTATAGAGTACCAAAAAAAATGCACAAACACAAATTTACAAATCCAAAAAATACAGCCCACAGCAACAAAAAACCGGATGCTCCTGCCACATCCAGCTGTCAAGTTGCAAGGTGGGCACCGTACTCTGATCCTTTGGCGGGGCGTCTTTGCCAGTCCCCTTGGCCTCGCATCGCCCCAGTTGGATCACATCGAAGCCCGGAAAGCTGTCTCTCCTTGGTTCGCGCGCGGATCAAGTCGGGAAAACTGGGAGTGATCGGCAGAAATAACCACCTAAAAGCTATCGAAAACCTAGGAACTCTGAGGTTTTTGCCATTCTCAAAGGCTATATTCCAAATCAATCCAAAGCGTATGCAGCTTACGCAGCATGGGAGAAATGCCAAACATCCGCAATGACATTCTGGTTTCACCGAGCGTCTACGTGGCAGCGACCTGCATTTTATGGGTTAAAAGAGTTCCACAGTCCGAGGCCTTTATATACCAGTTGGAAATGGTGTCCAAGATTGCCGTCTATAAATAAATAAATAAATAAATATATATATATATATAATTAATTAAATTTATCAGTGATGTATGTGGGCTTAGAAGCCCATTGCAACTGGTAGCCACCCCTTGCTGTTGGCTTCTTTGTGGTTCTAGGGGACCAGAAGTAAAGCCCAAAAACGTGAATCAAGAGTTGGCAAGATTGTGTCCTAGCTTGTGTATATATACATATATTCTACATACTATATGGAATACAATACATATGTATATATATATATATGGGAGTCCTCCTAAAACCCATGCAAGGCTTTTAGTATCCGAGTGACATCTGCAGATATGGATGTGTATGTTTTGCTGCAGTGGCGAAAGGCCGCGAAAGGGCGGCGTAAGGTTCGCGAAAGGTCTGAATACCATTATTTATAAACCTAGAAGTAAACGAAAACCTGATCATAATCTCATGTCCCGATTCTGCTGGGGCGCGAAAGGGCGCGAAAGGTTCGCGAAAGCGCGGCGTAAGGGCGTTTTCGGGTACCATAATTTTGGACAACCCCCATATATATATATATATATACATCCCACATAATACATAAAATGATATGTATATTTATATAGATATCACATCAATAATAGATAAAAAGAAACTATATTAATAAGTTTTAATAAGTATACATATAATATATATATATATCATCATTATCCTAACATCAGGATATATTATTTATGAAACACATTATTTTCAGGATATAAAAAAAAAAAATCAGGATAATATAATTCATGATGCTAGATAGATCTATGATATATCATGAACCTAATGTTATTAACTACATATGATCCACTTCCTACAGATCTATGATGTTTCTGTATTCTCCTGGTATATGGCTATGAGTCAAAACCCAGGTACCCTTCTGTTCACCCAAAATCGCTGGGATTCATGGATGTTCACCCCCCCAAATATGTTAATATATATATATAGGTTTTGACACATCCCCATATTAATATCAGGATATTATATGATGTTGTTATCTATGATGTTATTCTTATCATTGTAGAGATTATGTATCTATGACAGCGTATTATCAGTATATACATGTACTATCAGGATATCAGGATATCATTAATTTTCATGATTCAATATCATCATATCATTATATCATGCTTATATGATATTATTCCTAATGAGTAATCAGTATTTGTCCTATTCATGATATGTTTCATGATTATGTCATTATTTTTCATACTATCATATATTGAATCATTAACTAATATCAGGATATCAGGAGTTTTCAATACATGGCCAATCTTAGATACCCTGCAAAAAAATAAATTCTGAGCTGGTTAGTAAAATTTTCCCATTGATACCAAAAGACTGATTAGAGTACCCATTGATTTAGAGATATGATTGATATTCATAAACTAATACATATCAATACATATCAATACATATCAATGGATATCAGGAGTGTTCAATATATCAGTTGGGTGTACATATACATAATTATACATATATAGAATAATTCCCACCTAAGATTATTAATTATTAGTTTATCACATCAGCCCGAGGCTCGCCACCTCTCTCAGTCTCGAAGTGAAGTTCTCGGCCAACTTGGCGTGGTCTTCCTGCGGCGGCGGATGTGGAACCCATGGAAAAATGGTGGTTTCACCGAAGTTTCACCCACGAAAAATGGAGATTTAACTTGAAGAATCCTGATTGAACACATGAATCCAATGTGATTTCAGGAGGAGAAACTGGGATAACCATGAACAATGGTGATCTTACTATGAAAACTAGCGATTTCGCTCACAAAAATGTGGTTTTTAAGCAAAGATGTGGATCCATTTAGATTTCACATGTGGAGTTCGGAGTTCACCCAAAATTGATGGTGAGAACTGGAATGTTTCATGAAATGGTGCGATTCAACTCACAAGAATGTCGGATTTGACCCAAAACCATGTGGATCTGTGACCTTCACAAGTAGTCATTGAAGCGAAACATACCTGGTTGGTGGTATACCTACCCCTCTGAAAAATCATGGAGTGAGTAACAGTTGGGAGTTGGGATGATTTTCCCTTCCCTTTTCTGAATAGAAAGTCATAAAATTCTATGGTTCCAACCACCAACCAGTGATTATTAACTATCATTAACCATCATTAACCATCATTAACCATCATTAACCATCATTATCCCATACTAAACCATGGTTCCAGTCACCACCAACCAGACATGCAAAAAACCAACCAGACACGAGTGCGGACCAAAGACATGCGGAGTTAACCTCAACGAAGATGTCGACTTTCAACCACCTAGAAAAACCGGAGAAATTTGACCAACCAAAAAAAACACATACGTGGTTTCCTCCTGACAAAATAGCAGTATTTGGGTGTGTCTGACTGTTTTTGGGGGGGGAAAGAAAAACACTTGTTCCTCACTCAAACATCTGCTTAAAAAACAGCCAAAAAAAAAACCGTCCAAGCTGCTAAGATCATGGCGCAGGACCATTGTTCTGCGATGATTTTCTCATGCACTTGGCGATGACTCAAGGCGCGCCCCAAGGTGCTTTTGCACTTGGGCAGCGTGTCGCACAACTGGTCTTGCGCGCTCCTGGGACTCATGGGATGAACGTGGTGTTACTGGTGGCCACTAAGGGAATAGTAGGATAGCCTCCAGTGAACTAAGATTTTATATGGAAAATCCATGAACATCCACGAAAATTCTCGTTCATATCCTACAAAACATGGATTTCCACAGCTGCGTTAGTTTAGAGGCTGACTCTGAAATCAGCATCTCGGTGTCTCGGTGACTCAGCAGGCAGGAAAACATTCCATGGTATTCAATTTTTGGGATCTTCATCCAGATGTGCAATAAAAAATCAAACGTTCAAAAAACATCCGGTTTGGTCCATATAGATCCATATAGTGGTTGGCTAAAAAAGTTGTCTGTTGTATCCTGAACTCTGGCTGGATAGGATTGTGATACAGGTTCTTATCCCAGTTGAGATATAGTGGTTCGTCTGCCACTTTTTCTGATTGGGCTGCTGGCCTCTGATATATAACTATACAAAACTATATGCTTCTATATGGATACAGTATATGTTAGCATGGCGCTCTACCACGTTTTCTTTAGAAATTTGTGTCCAAGTTTGGGTAATTATTGTGCCTAGGTTTGGTAATTATTGTCCCCAAGTTTGGGGAATTATTGTCCCTAAGTTTGGCCTAAGTTTGGTAATTATTGTCCCCAAGTTTGGGTAATTATCGTCCTTAAGTTTGGGTAATTATTGTCCCTAAGTTTGGCCTAAGTTTGGTAATTTTTGTCCCTAACTTTTGCCTCTTTGGGGAATTTTTGTCCCCAACTTTCGGTGATTTTTTGTCCCCAACTTTTGCCTCTTTGGGGAATTTTTGCCCCTAACTTTTGGGAATTTTTGTCCCTAACTTTTGCCAGTTTTGGGAATTTGTGTCCCCAACTTTTGGTGATTTTTTGTCCCTAACTTTTGGGGAATTTTTGTCCCCAATTTTTGCCAAAAGTTGGGGACAAAAAATCACCAAAAGTTGGGGACAAAAATTCCCAAAACAGGCAAAAGTTAGGGACAAAAATTCCCAAAAGTTAGGGGCAAAAATTCCCCAAAGAGGCAAAAATTAGGGACAAAAAATCCCAAAAGTTAGGGACACAAATTGCAAAACAGTGCCTAAAGAGATAGCCCAAAAACATGGTAGAGAGACATGCCAAAGTATATGTATCCCTGTTTTTGGTTGGGCTGTATGCCCATGTTTCTTTGGTTTGTTGATGTTCTATGTTTGTTGCTTGCTCTATATATCCATCTATTTCCCAAGTTTTCTTATGTTGTTTCAGAGCCCATACTTGGTTTATAAACCAATGGATACATTGATATGTTTGGCACACTAACATAGGTTGGTGGTGAGAAATCCCCTTGAAAAAATATCATCGGCATTGACATCATCCCATTCTATTGTAAAAAAATAACGAAAAAATGTTTGAAAGCAGCCATCACATCTCTCCCTTCAGCCACAACAAACCACCCAGCTGAGCTTCATTTCCGACTTCAGCTGCTCATCTATCTCATGGTCCACGGCTGGAAAGAAATTGTAGGAATTGATTCCTGCCTGGTGGGGCGGATTCAGGCCATCTGCCATCTCTTGGGAAATCCACGAAGTTGAAGAGTGGGGGGAGAGAGTTTCTACTTCAGGGCTCTGAAAGTCACCAAAAATGATCAAAAAAGAGGCTTCTTGCTGAAAAATCAAGGATCTCTTCGACACTGATGATATGTTTCAAGATGCTGGAAACTTAAACCCAGCAGTCGGCCGAAAATGGACCATCGAATTGTGAATCTTGACCACGGAGCCGCGAGCCTTTTCCAACTCCTGGGCAAGGCTGTCCCGTTTGGGTTTGCCTGGCGGTTGGAGAGCTTGAACCCGGGACCGTGAAAGGGGCAAGGCCCACCTCTTTCATCTTGGAGATTGATGACGATGACGTGCTCCAGAGGGTCCTGTTTCAGGGGCGATGTCGCGAAGGGATCGACAGCATCTTTTGGAACAAAAAATTGGCAAAACCAATGGAAGTGACCATTCCTTCGGCCGTCAAAGACATAGATTCATATGGCTTCTATCAAACATCGGGTGTTGTTCGCGTCAAACCGGATTTCACCATGAAACAATTGGGATTTTAGCATCAACAAACCCCATTGGACTTGACTAGGTGGGTACAAACTGGATGGTCAAAAGATGAGATGGCTTTTTGTAATGTTGACCCAGACCTGATCCCCTTGAAAATCAACTCTATGACGAGGACTCCCCGAATCCAAGCAGGATACCAGAAACATCCCACAGCAAATGTGCATTGGATCATAAGTGTCAGTACCCCGTTGGATTTCCATATATATATATATATATGTGTGTAAATATATATATATACATATATATATATATATATTTGGGCTAGACTTGTAATTTCTTGTCCCTGATTGTCCATGTGACTTGGAACGACAACAGCAATCAATTACCTTTTGATACATGCTGTTCATGAAGCGAATGTGCATGCATTGAATTCTGTGTCTTACTACGTTGAAATCTGCAAAGCGGGCAAATCACGAATGACTATGAAAGCAACTGATCTTTTTTATGATCATGGAGCAAAGGTGCCAAAGTTATTAATAGTGACTGAATGGTGACTAAGAGGGATGAATAGTGACTCTGCCAAAATCAACGTCCATCCCAAAAAATTGACGCTGACTCCGTGCCCAGTGAATCGCCAAGCATCGCAATAGAAGGGCCGTGGGAGTTTGTCCAATCGAACTTCCTCCTCCAAGGGGGTCCGAAGGTCCGAAACCTGGTGGGCTAAGCTTTTCCAAAGTGGGAAAATCCAGGGGTACAGTAGATGTATCTCCCGTCTTCTTGCTGATTTCATGCTGATTTCATTCCGATTTCAATCCAGTAAACCTGAATTTTTCTCCATGAAATTTCATGTTTAACTTGATGTTTAAAGTTACATATAAAATCATATAAACATCTCCATCAAAGTTGAATTCTCCATGGTTTTTCCTACAACTTTCCCATGTCCCGTCCTCCGGAACTCGTTGCAGAAAGCCGGACGATGCATTGAACTCCGCCGCAGGCGTTGCTGCCTCCGGCGCCTGCGTAGGATTTGTGATGATCAGTTGGTAGTACCCATATGCTCCATGTATGGTATATTTTCCTACATTTGGATGATTTTTAGGGTAAATGTTGGTAAATATTCCATACATGGAACATCTGGGGTATAGTTACCACCAAAAAATGGTGATTTGGGGGATGATTTATCATTGGGTTTACTACATAATACAGTTAAATATGTGTGGAACACACAACAATGAACCCTCTACATATTACATACCAATCAATAAATGTATGTATATATATATATATATATCTACACATAGTGGAAAAATGGACCTGTGTATGTGTGTATATGTATAAATACATATATATATATATACATGGGTCTTAATTTACATAAACTAATGTACTATGCGTTTGTATAGATAGAAAATTTTGGTCATACATACATACATATATATATATGTACAAAATATTATGTATATATATATATACAATATGTATACATGATATTATATGTAATATAGTATTATATATATGTATATATAGACAGTTGACAAATGTTGTAAACCTAGTGAGAGAAACTGCAAAAATACCCCATGTACTCAGTTTTTCAATGCAGGCGAGGCCTTGGGTTTACCACACCAGTCAAGTGGAATCATCAATGTTTGAGGGATGGAGCATTGACAAAAAACTGTGTTGCTCAACAACTCACAAGCAAAACTAAAAAAACAAGAAGATAAGCGCACCATTTGATGATCATCCATTTGATGATCATCATTTTCCATCTGGAGATATCTGGAGATAATGGTGATTAATGCGGATCAGAAATTCTCTGAATTCTTGGCCATCAGTAACCCTGCCCCAATCTCTGCCAGCGCCATCAAGGTGATGTTCAGAGCCAGCGGGAAGCTATGTGAAAACCACACGAATTCTTTCCTGCCTTCCAATCCTTTGAACATCTTCGAAATCTCCCAGTTCAACATGGAAAAATTCTCCTAGATCTGTTCGAAAGACCTATATTCACAATGTTTCACCATATTTCTGATGGGTTTTTCTCAACTAAACTCCCTATGTTCCCCACCCCAGGCAGGCCTCCACTGCTACCGGCGCTGGCGTCAGTGGCGCAGTATCCGCCAGCGTCACCGGTGCTTCCGCTGGGGACGCCGGCCAGGCGCCACTGCCGAGGGCTGCAGCCAGGGCAGTGGTGTTGAGGCGTGGCGACTCGCAGCTACCCTGCACAGGAAGATGACACCAGCCCCAGTGAGATATCATCAATATGTTGATATATTGTGGTGTATATATATATATATAATGTGATATATATAAAATATGATATATATAAATAATATTACCCACAGGCCCCTTGTGTTGCCCAAGCCCAGAATAGCGTAAATTACAAGGATTTTTTGTTCACACTATACATCTCATATAAATTCTCCCACCCCCATTGAACTTCTACATTCATTGAAGATTCTTCAATAAGGGTTTAATTCTCCCACCCCCGTTAAACTCTTACATTCATTGAAGATCTTCAATAAGGGTTTAATTCTCCCACCCCCGTTAAACTCTTCCATTCATTGAAGATTTTCAATAAGGGTTTAATTCTCCCACCCCCGTTAAACTCTTACATTCATTGAAGATTTTCAATAAGGGTTTAATTCTCCCACCCCCGTTAAACTCTTACATTCATTGAAGATCTTCAATAAGGGTTTAATTCTCCCACCCCCATTAAACTTCTACATTCATTGAAGATCTTCAATAAGGGTTTAATTCTCCCACCCCCGTTAAACTTCTACATTCATTGAAGATCTTCAATAAGGGTTTAATTCTCCCACCCCCGTTAAACTCTTCCATTCATTGAAGATCTTCAAAAAGGGTTTAATTCTCCCACCCCCGTTAAACTCTTCCATTCATTGAAGATCTTCAATAAGGGTTTAATTCTCCCACCCCCGTTAAACTCTTCCATTCATTGAAGATCTTCAATAAGGGTTTAATTCTCCCACGCCCGTTAAACTCTTGCATTCATTGAAGATCTTCAATCATCATCATCATCATGAAATTTGCCGGGAACGTCCCTGTAAATCTCCGGGCAACACAAGGGGCCTGGCCGTAATATTACAACAGATGTTAAATGAAGGTTTCTGAACATCCCAGTATTGTTAAGAATCACAAGAGGAGAACCAACAAAAACAGGGATATCTGGCTTGAATCACGGACATCCAGCCAAATCTTGTAGCAACAGCGGGTCTGACATTTGGCAAGCGGTCAAACAAAAACCGAACCGGGCCAATATCTTGCAATTTTCCCAGCAATTCATTGCGTGAACCGTGAACACACAAAACACAATTTCGAATCGTGTGTGTGTGTGTGGGTGTGTGGGTGTGTGGGTGTGTGGGTGTGTGGGTGTGTGGGTGTGTGGGTGTGTGGGTGTGTGGGTGTGTGGGTTTGTGTGTGTGGGTGTGTGGGTGTGTGTGGGTGTGTGTGGGTGTGTGTGGGTGTGTGTGTGGGTGTGTGTGGGTGTGTGTGGGTGTGTGTGGGTGTGTGTGTGGGTGTGTGTGTGTGGGTGTGGGGGTGTGGGGGTGTGTGTGGGTGTGTGGGTGTGTGGGTGTGTGGGTGTGTGGGTGTGTGGGTGTGTGGGTGTGTGGGTGTGTGGGTGTGTGTGTGTGTCCCCTGATTGCTATTTTTTTTCAGTTGCACCCCCCCAGTGATAGGTTAGTTTATAATTCCATCCAAGTAATTTGATATATGGAGGTTTCCAATCCATGGGGATACCCACAATCATCCATTTTAGATATAGGAGGTACCGAGCCCAATCCATCTTTTTTGCTGAATTGACTAGAAATCAATGTTGGTTCAATGTTGGTTCAATGTTGAATCACACAGAATCACCAATGTTTGTTGCTTAAACCATGGTTAAACCAACATTTTTGTTTGTTAAATCTTCATTGTTTTGACCTGGTTTCCCTTTTCGGCATAGCCAGTCGAAAAACATACCTCCATATGGCATGCCATGTCCCACTAAAGCACTAAATCACCAATTTTGTTGGTTCGACCGGCATTTCGCGTCCCATTTCGAGAACGCCATTGGTGACGACCACGTCGCCGCCTGTAGGGCCGTGTCGCCGCCTGGACCTCCGGCACCACAGAGAGGAAGTTCTGTTGCTGCAAGACCTGGAGGAAATCTCAGGATGGTAAGATTTTGACAGCCTGGGATTATCTAATGGTATAGACATATATCAAATGGTATTTGTCATGTTTACCATATAATTCCATATAACATATATATATATTATTTATATTTACCATGTTTACCATATTTAGACTAGAAGATATATTCTAATAATCATTATCTACTATAATATCTAATATCATTATTTGACAGTACTATATTTTGACAGTCTAGATGTTGATGGATATTTTGACCGTCTAGATGTTGATGGATATATCTACCCCCTGGTCAATGGTAACATAACTATGGAAGATCACCATGTTTAATGGGTAAATCAACGAACTAAATGGGTCATTTTCAATAGCAAACTGTTAGTTTACCAGAGGGCAATATATGGTAAATCATCAATTATATTCATCAGCTCACGTCTGGCAATATTTTCCCCGAAATTTTATGATGTTGAATTTTTTTGAATGGTATTGACATACAGTATATTAAATGGTATATTTACCATGTTTACCATATAACACATGTATATATATATATACCATATAACATTAGATGGTATTGACAGTTTGGCAATGTTATATGGTAAATATCTAATTGGAATCTAGATATATTGAAGATCTAACTCCACTAGTATTATTGATATATCAAACTAGTTAGATGTCATGTGTTTATAAACCAAAAAACATCACTGGGACGGGCACCACATTGTGAGAATATACGTATGGCAAAAACATGTGGTAACAGTATGGTAATATGCTGGCATTCAGTCGGGATGGTAAATCGATGACATGGCTGGAACTCATTGGCCCCCATGAGCTCGGCGACAGCAGCAGTTGGGGGAAGCGGCATCGAAGCGAGGGGACTTGCCATGGGCAACTTCCGCTTGCTTTCAATTCCACAAGGTGGTGCCCCATATAGTTAGCTAACTTGGTTCACAAGTCCAATAACTATATAGGGTTTATGGGGGTTATATCTATAGTTAATGGCGATTAAAAACCAACAAACATCACTGGGGGGTACCATCTTGCAGGGTCTCGAAATCTGGGTTTTCGCCCGAAAAAATCCTATGGTTTCGCCATCGAAATTTAAGGATCATCCCAGAGCTGGATAGCGGTGAACAATTCTGATGACAAATCCCACCACACGGCTCTTAGCTTTCTGGGTTTGGATGGTCGACGGCTTGTAACTGGTTAGCGACTGGGTTTATAACCCACTTGGAAATGGGACAATCAACTTTTGTGACTTACTAACCGAAGTTATTTTAACCACAAACACTAAGTGGGATGATCCAAATATACTCCTAATCAACCCCAACGAAACAACCCAAGCCTGGAGTTCAAAAATTGGATCATTAAATCAAAAGGTTTATCACAAATAGCTGAAATGATGCTATTTGGGGTTGATTTCCCGAATCAAAACCATCATTCCAGCGACGTTACATTGAGGTCATCATATTTCATCCATATTATACATGGAAGAAACAAAAAATAACTTATTTGCTGGGATACCTTATAATGAGCCAATCTATGGGCTATAAACATTTGGAGTTCATTCCCAATCGTAAACCTCATTGGGGATGTTGAGTATGGCATTTGGATTACCACATTTATAAATTAAAACAACTGACTGAACCCATAATCAATGCCTTATAATGAGTATTCATATCATGTGAAAAACCATCCCCAATCAATATATATATATATTTACATTGATAGATATGTATGTATATATATATATATGTATTAATAAGGGATTTCTCAAACAGCAACTCTTTAAGAGAGATAACCCCCATCTATTTATAGGCCTTAACCATCCTTAAGCTATCAGAAATATAGTTTTATGTGTGTAAATATATATATACATAACATACGAGACAATATTACTATATATATATACATAATATACATTATATATATATGGTTGGTGGTTGAGCCACCCCTCTGAAAAATATAAGTTCGTCAGTTGGGA